TGAAAACCCAGGCGCTGGCTGCCTATTCCTGGAGGTCTCATCTGTGTTATCGCAGAGCTCCTATTGCAAAAGTCTTGTTAGACCCAGATAAAATCACTCTACTGGATACTCAGCAGGCACCCTGAGGCAATCAGGATCCATTACGCCTCACAAGGCCTCCTATGTGCGTGCACTTATTCCTTTGAACAGCTCAGGCCTTGCAATAATAGTGAAACTCTAAAATCTTGTCCCCTGCCGAGCCTGTTCAGTTTGTGGATACAAGTAGTATCCCCACAGAAAATGGCCAAAAAAATGATATCCAAGATTTTCCAGCAAAAAAATTAGGACCAGAAATCCAGGAGGAGATGAAGAAAAAACATTTATTCCTTGTTTTAAATTAGGATTAACAAAAAGGGAAATGACAGATCCACTTCTCATGAATCAAGAGTGTAAGCTCCATCAGGTAAATGTCATGTTTCTGCTCACATTGTCTCTCTGTTACCTAACATGAAGCCCAGATGCAATTTTTTTATGTATGACTGGTCACATAGAAAAGGCAATGAATGAGGGTGAAAAGTTTGGGATGGGAGGACCAAATATTGCTCTCAGACTGATCAGAGAACTGAATGCTTCAGCCCCAGAATTTTTTTTTTAAGATGTATTTACTTATGCATACAGAGCTGCGGTACAGGCCACAGGTTCAAGGGAGGGGGAGGACTCACCAGAGACAGAGTGGGGAGCAGAACAGGCAGATGGATGGAATACACTGCTGAGGGGAGCAGTGGGGGAGGCAGGAGAGGCCTGCTGCACCATGTAGGTCAGCTTCCTGGCCAGGGATCAAACTTGTGCTGAAGCGGCTGCAGCTACCTTTATAGTGCCCTGCTTTAACCTGATGCAGCCCCAAGGAAGGCCCCCACCTCTGACTTTGTACCAAAGTAGATCACCTTTGAAGGTCTCTTTCGACCTCCTGGTTCTTCTGCAGTCTTTCCTGATGCAGTGGACATTGGCCATTTTTGCCTGCCTGGTGTCTCTTCTTTTTTCCGAGGCTCCCACTTTCTTTCTGGGACATGACCTCTCCTCAGTACTGGTGTGGCCTTTCCTTGGCAGGGTGAATCCTGTAAGCACCTCTCACCATGTTTGCCTCTGTAAGGACCAACCCCACCCAACCCCAGCCCATCAGCTGCTCTCCGGGTGACTTTACTGTAAGTGCCTCAAGCGTGGAAGGGCTGATTGGAGGTATTTATTTCAGTGGTGGTGATTCTGCCTGAAACCCTCTCAGGGCCTGCTTCCCCCTCTGGAGTTCTCCTTATACCTGACTTTTTCTATTCCTGGTCCTCCACCCTTCAAACAGGTCTCTGAGCTGTGAGTAACCTAATAGAATTCCCTCTTATGAAAGTCACCCAGTGTTTACTTGTGCCACACATAGACAAGGGTTGCAGGTTAGCTGTTCCTCCTGCAAAAACATTTGGTTTCTTTCACTTTGTTTCTCCTTCTGGCAACAATCCTTGCATGGCTCTTTTTAAAAATGATAGATTCTGGAAGCTCCTCCTTTTATACTTATTCCAGGTGACTTGCTCTTTTCATTTTTAGGTTCTATTTCCATGTAGTGGACAGTGGTAGGGTGGCTTTTGCCTGCTCAATAATGATTCTTCCTTCTCTCTTACTGATTCCCTCCCCAGCATCTTGGCCATGGGCTTTGACCACTATTGACTGGTCAGTCATTAGCCATCTTATCCTGAACTGGATCAACTGGATTTCTCTTCCTTGAGAAGTTTAATCTACGGAATGTAAAAGTTGTAGATTAATGAGAGTTAAGTCTCAGAAATGGTGTGTTGCTAGGGAAGGTCTATACTTTTCTGTTGAGATTTGGGATATTTTGCTAGGGGCCCAACATTTCCCTATCTTCAGGAGAGTTCCAATAAAGTTAACTTTCTTGATTAATTTTTCTAATATTAGCTAATGTCATCTGCTACTGAAAATATCTTAATTAACATAGTCTCCAGGAGATAAAAGACTTTTTGGCAGCAGGGCCAAAATTCCATTCATCCATCCATTCATTAAGAACTTACAAACTGCCAGATACTGAGGTAGGTTCTTGGAATAATTTCCCGAAATAATTTCCCAAAATCAAGCAACTTGTTTCCTGTCTAGTTTGAGGGCATAAATGTAGTCAATCAACATCATTAATTTTATAAGTAATTTATTTAATTCAACTAATCACTTGTAAATATTAGGTTGACAAACCCTGATAATAAATATTTTTCTTCTTCTTCCTTTTTTTTTTTTTTTAAGATTTATATATGCATACAAGAACTGGGGCACAGGCCAGAAGTTTGGAGGGTGAGAGGATTCACAAGAGACAGAGTGGGGAGCAGAACAGGCAGATTGACTGAAATAAACTGCTGAGGGGAGTAGCGGATGAGACTGGAGAGGTCTGCTGTGCCCTGAGTCAGCTCCCTGGCCAGGGAATGCTACAGGGGCTCTGGATAGCTCCATAGTGCTGTGCTTTAGCCAGTTGCCCCACTAAGAGTCCTCTTATTTATTTCTTACAATGACACTATGAGGTATGTTCAAGATGAAGGAACTGAGTCACAGAAGAATTTAGGTGGCTTTGCAGAGTCACAGACTTGTAAGTGCTGGAGCTGGGTCTTGTCTGGCTATAGAGCTCTGGCTTCTGTCTGCTCCCTCTCAAAGTAAAGAATCCCAAAGCAAGGTGGCACATGCTAACCTAGGTGTGCATAAAGCGCACACAGGAGAAGACCACTAATTTTGTAATGAGGTTGAAGTTCAAGAAAGGTTTCCCAATAGAACTGGTTTGAGTAATCTTGAAGGAAGAGAAGAATGAATGTATCCCTGGTGGTGAGCCCAAAACTTTGCATATGAACTCTGTAAAATGATGATGAGATGGCTTATGCATCTGGAAGGAGTTGTTTCCTGTTGACACAGAGCCTGGGGTGTTTCCTGCTGCCTTCTGAGGTATCCCTATATCCCTGTTGTGATTTAGGAAAGTTATGCAAGGTTATCAGATCACTTATGTTCACAAAACCTTGTGAAGGAAGTAGTACAGGTCTTAACCTCCTAAAATGGGTGAGGTAAAACAAGGCTGATGTTGCATGACCTATCCAAGAGTGCACATGGTGAGTAAGTGGAAAAACAAGACAAGGACCTGATGTCCTGCCTTCAGGAGGGAGAAATTAGCACAGGAGCCCTCTAATCCAGCAAGGCTCCCTTACACATAGGGTGCAGTTCAAGATTTTGCTCTTTCCAGTCTCTGCACCCAAACTTCTGGAGATTCCCTTTCCCAGGAACACTCTCCCTTTCCTTCTCATTTTCAGCTCTCCAAATCCTGCTTATCATTCAAGGTCAAGCTCACTTTAAACCTTCTTCCCAACTCGTGTCCAAATTCATTCAGTCCTTGTCTAAACATCAATTAAGTTTCTTAGCCTTGTGTCCAACTAGATTCTTGCCATGAAAACTTTCTATACAGAAAATTTCCCTTTATAAAACTCCTCTTTAGTAGAACTCCAGGTCCCTAATCTTTCTAGACCTCTTATTGTTGTTTACTTTGCATGTGTCAACTTCTTTGTTTCCCTAACATAGGCCCTCCAGGTCGTGCTAGCCATTTTTTTTTTTTTTTTTTTTTTGAGCATTCTCCATTGGGATTGTAGTGTTCTGACTCAGGAGATCTGCTTCACCCATTTGCTGTTAGGTTGTTTAGCTCCAAAGTCATGCAAAATCGATAGCTTGTCAACTCCCTTTCTCAAACTCCTGAGGGACTGGGGTGGAGGAAGAATGAGGAAGCTCTCATTGGTACATTAAGTAATTAATAATAACCGACACTTAATGAGCATGCATTAATGGTCAGGTCTTGTACAAAATATGTTTGTGTATTAAGTTGTAAATCCTTAGGAAAACTATCCTTATCTCCACTGAACAGATGAAGACACATAGAGGTCACTCAGCTCACTTCGCCAGTGACCGGGTCAGGATTCAAACCCAGATCCACCGCGGTGCCCATTTGCTTAACTGTAACACCTAATTCTTCATAGGTAATGCAAAGTCTTATGCTACATGTGGGTTCATTTCCTTTCTAACCCTCCAAGGGAACATAGAATCAAAGGGGTGGAGAATAATATTATGCTCTAATAAGAATCAATCATGTATTGTGAAGGTGCCCAAAGATTTATTGGTAGAATTTTTGCGATGAGAGTATGAAGCAGGAAGTATTAAGGCCTTTATATGCAATTAGGTTCCCAACGTGGTTAAATACTCAAGGTTTAGCTCCAGTTATAGGCAGTTGGAAGGAGACCAGGTTTCCTGACTTTCAAGGAAGTGCTCTTGAAAGGAGATTGTACAGGAAACCCTGGTAGGGGCAGGACAAAAAAAGACATCGAATTATTATTCAAGAAATGTGTAAAGCGTGGTGCATACTGCAGAATAGTGTGAGGATGTCAAAAAGGCTATTCTATAAACACCCGCAGAGGAATTAGCTAATTAAATAAAGGCGCCCTGTCTAGGGCTGGGATTCAAAGCGCCGGCCTCCCCGGAGGCAAGGGCAGAGAGGGCGCCACCTGTCCAGGAGAACCCAGGAACCCGCTCTGGAGACTTAGGCTCAGCCTCGTTCTTTTCCTCACATTCTAATTGGCTGCTTCTTCCAGGGCCCCGCCTCCTTCTCAGGGGGGACCATTAGCAGCCAAGCTCTCCCTCCCGTCCCCGGGCTGCGGCCAATCGGGCCCCAGATCCACCCGTCCCCCTCTAGAGACCCCAGTACTCTGGCAAGACGCCTCACTCTCGCTCGTGATTGGCCAGGGGGCAGCCTGGCTCCGCCGCCTCCTCCTTCTCCAGATTGGTCAGCGGCCCTCCGGCTTCGCGACCCTCCCGCCGTCCCTCCCCGTCTCCCCCGCCGCCGCGGGCCTCGGGCGAGCCTCGGCGTCCGCAGAGTGGGCCCCGCCTCCGTGTGACGGCGGGGCGGGGAATTGGCGGCAGCGTGCAGCCATTTCCGGTTTCGGGAGGTGGGTGGGGTGCGGAGCGGGACTTGGGACGCCGCCGCCTACGGAGCCTGTCTTGCGCCTGGTGCTGCCGCGACAATGCGGCCGGGGCCGGGAGGCTGCTGCTGCCGCCGCCCGCTGCGGCCGAACGGCTGCGTGGCGAACGGGGAAGTGCGGAACGGGTACGTGAGGAGCAGCGCTGTCGCCGCCGCTGCCGCTGCCGCCGCCGGCCAGG